GTCTCACATACACGCCTGATGTCCTTGGGAAGTCTATGTGCTTCCCGGTGCGCTACGCAGTCCCACCGCTCTCCCGTGCGAAGCTGTGATCTCCCTCGGTCCGCTCCGAGTCACACGTCTTTCCCCCCCGTCTGCCGTCGAGGGGCTGAGGCGACTGCTCCTTCCAGAACCAGCAGAGGTGGCCGAAAAGGAAATGAGAGAGGGAGCGAGAGAGAGAGAGAGAGTGAGAGCAAGGAGTAGAGAGAGGGAGAGTTGGCGAGCGAGAGAGAGAGAGACAGAGAGAGAGAGAGAGAGAGGGAGAGCTGGGAACCCAAAATGCTTCACCGGAGACCCCATCATGAAGCTTAATTGATTGCTAGGTTGGCGAAATACACTCAGGTTCTGGTGACAGCCAGAGGACAAGTGAGAAGCTGTTTGGAGAGATCTAGGCGAGGACAGGCTGCCTTAAGGCTCTCAGATACACGCGCCACACACACAAATACACATACATACATAGGTTTGTAACTCTATTCTTGTGGGGACTCTCTGTTCATTTCTATGGGGAAAATTCTAATCCCAATATGATGACCTTAACCCCTACCCAACCCTAACCTTGCCCATAAGTAACCGAACAAAATACAAGACTTTTGGCATTCTTAGTTTCTTGATTGCATTCACAGATCTTTGTGGAGACCTGAAAGAATGGTCCCCACATTTGGTCTCACACAACATAATGTAAAAATAATCTACACATAAACACACACACACACACACATAAACACACTCCTTTCCAGTAAAGCCCTCCCCATCCTCACCAGAGAAACAAGCAGTTGTGTTGTTCCAGTTTGTGCCCAGATGTCAGAAAAACACATTTAAATGGACTGCATTTAAAAGGACAACGGTGACTTCTCTGCTCCCTAATTAATGGTCTGGGAAGCCTCTAGAGTGTCATCCCTAATTATCAGAAGCATAGATACTGTCAGCCATGCACACAGCAGCACTTTAACAGCACCAGTCCGTTCATTATGTCAGCTACTAGACGTGACTTGCTGTGGCAGCCTAACAGCAAGAGCCATAGCTGTTCCTGGAACAGCTAAAGGCTGAAGGAGCCAGAATTATTAAAAATAGGTAAATATATCTGACTCATATCACACCTGACAAAGATGGGCTCTAGGTCAATGACAGTAAACCTGCATTAAATAAGCGGATGACACTCAGACCGAGATCTGGCCACTTCCTACTGAGGCCAAGGTGATGGGCTGAGTGACCCGACACATGAGGGCTGGGGACAGCAGCCCTGAGTCTCTGCTCCCTATTACTCTTAGGGCACCATCTCCAACCCACCCGAATCAGTCCACAAGCCAATTAGAGGCACTTTCTAGTTTTTTTTTTGTTTTTTTTTTTTTTAACTGCCCATAAATATTTTCCCCAAGGATTTCAGGTGCTATTTCAGAGGCCCAGAGGGAAAAGCTGAAAATGTTCGGCTGACAGCTGGCGAAAGAGCGGAACCAATGTCAACCCTGTTAGGACACTGAGAATAATCACGTCCTGAGACCAGGAAGGAAAGCCAGTGAGAACTTTAGGAGAAGAACATAGCATTCTGAATGAACTAATTAATCTGCCTGATGGATTCCCTGAATAACCCCCCCCTCCCTCCGGTAATATTCCACAGTAATAAACAGACAAGACTCTCAGCCGAGAGGCGATGGATAAACAAACAAGCAATTTCACGGGAGAGACGTTTTGTCTGTTTTTACGAATACCCCCCCCCTCCACCCCCCCACATCTGAAAAAAACAAAGTGATATTTCACGATCACAGCTTTACAGCACATAAAAAAGCCTGAATGATAGTAAAATGCTGTGATGTATCATTGGGAGCAGCCTACAGCTCCGGACCGTGGGCACACCACGCTCCTTCAGAGATCACGTCCCACCAGACTGCTAATCAGATCCAGCGGGACACTGTGACCTCCCGCTGTCCCAGAAATGGGTCAATTTGTTTTTTATCCTCCCCCTTTCTCCTCCACTCTATTGGTATGTTCCTATTTATTACTCCAGGACTAAAGGATAAATCTTGAGCATAAATTATTTTAAAAATACCAGGTGTTAGAGAGGGAGGGCTGGGGCAGTTCTATTTTAATGCATTGGTGCCTAAAAAAACAGTCGCAGTAGTCCAGGGGGGGAAGGGGATCCAGCGGTGTGAGAGATGAACGCACCGGATCCGCTCTGAAACACAACACGGACTGCAGGGCGGCGCTCTACCACTGCCACGACTATACCGTTCACGCTGTGGGGTATACTGGGATATGATACTTACCCTCAGGCAGCCCAGAAAGGTATACAGGTAAAAAGAAGAATGAATCAGTAAACCAGTGCATAAGCAATCCTAGTAGTCAAAGCTATAATAAATGATTGCGATACAAAATAAACATTAATACAGTGGAATCCGCTTATAGTGATCATGTTTGTCTGGGTGACATTGATCACTATGAGCGAATGATCATTAAAGCCGTTTTTTTCCTTTTTCTATACGTCTCAGGCAGATTAACAGCTAATTTACATTTGTATATTTAATACCTTAATTTAATGTAATAGAACGGACCTCGGTGCTATTTGTAGAATTTTGACTTTTTCAAAATTGTTTTTGTGTTGGAACACTTTTCAAAGTACAGTGCTGTACAAATCAAATGGCAGAACTATGTATAATTCAAAGACGCTACAATACTGTAGAGCCGACGGCATTTGCATGTCCCTCTTTGTATTTCTTAGTGTACAGTAGGTATACTTGTGCTGTGTATCCGGTTGTTATCCTTTAATTGTGGTTGTACTCAGTTCTTGCCTGATCTTTGCATGTCTTAGCCATTGTTACCATCCTTAGTGTGATTTCCCCGTGTTTCCTTGTTATTCACAGCTTTCCTGTTATCACTACTTGTCGTTTGGTCCATTTAAGGAGTAACATAAAGAGCAACGTGTCAGTCCGCCTCTTGTTTTTATTCGCTGCCGCCACGATCCCTTAGTCTTGCTTTAGTACAATAGGATATTGTATATAAAATATGGCTTATTGTAGTTTCGTGGCTGCATCTCGGTTGCTCGTTTTTGGCGGTTTATCACAAGCTTCGATGAGTCTATATTTGTCATTGAGAGAAAATGACTTTCTTCTTTCTTTCATGTTTTCTGTGTGCGCAGCATTAGCCTCAGCTAGGTAGCTAGCCAGAAGCAGACAGATTACTACAAATCAAAGTATGTTTATAAAAGTAAAGTAAAAAAGAAGAAAAAGTAGCGTTGTTATATTTTTTTACGTATGTTGTCATGTATTAAAAACCCAAAATGAACACTGTAAGCGGACTACTTGATTATTATATGCGAATCATTTAAACAGTATTTATACATTAATTATTTTGTCCCAAGCTTTTTTATCCATATAAGCGGGTTCCACTGTACCATAATATAATACTATAAATAGCATTATTATTATTATGACAAATTATATTTATGACTCCAATATATTACATTTGTCCATCTGTACTTACGAAGGATCGGTTCAGGGCCCCCTGCAGATACCAGAATATGCGGATGCTCAAGTCTCTTAATCTTATATAAAATGCCGTACTATTTGCTTCCCTACACACATCTCCCCATATACTTTTAAATCATCTCTAGATTACAGTCAAACCAAGTAACTTGGTCCGCGAGTGTTTTGCAAGACGAGCAATTTTTAAAAAATATATTCTAACTTGATAAAAGAGCGAAGTCTTGCAATACGAGTATTATGTATACGCATTGTCTGCCGAGCGTCACGTCATCACAGCTGAGCCGATAGTTCTCTCTCTCTCGCTACGGGATTGTGGGTAATCGTCTGACAAGCTCGGTCTCAGTCGGCGTCTCTCATGCTCGGTCTCAGTCGGTCTGCCTCACTCGTATAATCAAAATTTAGTAGTGTAGCGGTGCGAACGATGAATCCTTTTAACGACAATGCAATGTCACATTTCCGCGAAATGGAAAAGGAGGCAGAAGCGGCTATCATTGGATAGGTTCCTTGTTAAAGTCAAACAAAAAGAAAAAAATTACAGTGAGCCAACAGATAGCAGTGATTCCGTTAGTTACAGTGAAAGCCAAGTCGTCCTACAAAATAACCCTCCTCTTCTCCTCTCTCTCCTCTCCCTCAGACCATCCACGATTTTTTTCAAAGGTAAAGTGCAAGTTAATTTGTTTTATGTATTTTTACTTTATATTTTGTATTAATCATCTTTATATTCATATATTTGGGTTGTGGAACGAATCATCTGAGTTTGCATTATTTCTAATGGGAAAATTCGCTTTGATATACGAGTGCTTTGGATTACGAGCACGTTTCCTGGACGAATTTTGCTCGCAAACCAAAGTACAGTACTCGTGATATCTGATATAGTGTAAATGGTATACTGTATGATTTAGGGAGTTATGAAAAACAGTATATTTTCGGTACAGACACAACCATCATAATTCATATAAAATATATAATTATAAGCAGACATAATATAAATTCATTCTCTCTCTATACCTACACTTTATTTGCGTAGATTCAGTGTAAAACTGGCACAAAGCAAATTCAAGTTTTGCTTTTCGGAACTTTGTGGATTTAAAAAAAAATTATTTTCAATCCACAGTTGGTTGAATCCATGGACACAGGACATGTGGATATAGATGCCTAGTTATATTCCTAAAATTTTATTCCATCCAACCTTCTTCTAACCGATTCCCCTGAGCAGGGCACTGGGGGCCTAGAGCCCATGCCGGGCAGCTCACAGCATTTTCCTATAATATAATACTGCTAATATAATGACTGATGGTGTTCTTAATGCTGGTTGCGTAGAGTGGCATCTGGGGCTTACCTGTGCTGTGTCCAGCATGGCACCCGCCATCACCATTCCCAGCCCTGCCAGGAGATAAGGCGGAAGCACCTGCACCAAGATGCCCGCCATGGACTCCTCGCAGCCCCTGGTT